CTACCTTGGTCGAGGTTAAGGTTTTCTTGACGCGATCTAATAAGTCGAATAACTGTCCGAAACCAGGCACGCCTCTGATAAACGTATGGTACTTTGTCATTAGTTTAATCAAAGTTACTTCCCATAAATCTTCAATGGAATAGGATTTGTGACACGACGATTATTGAGGCATTTTACGCTTCGATGTTGCAGTTTGTTCTCGCCTTGGAGATTAAAGTTTTTTTATTTATCGTAAGAAGTCAAGCGCTGTTGCTATTTGTAGAGCACCCAAGATCCAAAGGTTAATTGAAATCCCTTTAACAAGCAAACACATTAGTCTCTCATATTGGGGTTGATTTACCTTCGCAGTATTTCACCTGCATTAAAGGAGTGCTTGACAATGGGCGCAGGAAGTATGTGGGAAGTTTTCCATTTGCTCCCAGGCCGCATCGTTAGTACGTCGTTCATCCATCAACAGTTATTCCTGTCGGAGAAATGTGTGTGCAGACACACGTGCCATCTAGAGTATGCTCAGGTGAAATACTGACTACTTGTTCTCAACCTTAAATACCAATCAGGGGTCGAACAGCACAAGAGGATAGTCCTAAGATCTTGGTAGTACACTGCGTTGTTCCTCACTTTCTTGAACCCCGTCGTCTGTGCTGTGTACTAGAGACTACGTGTTTGGCTTGCCTCTATTTGAGGTCAATGTATTGATACGTATTTCATTTCAAATCTCTTTTTATATCCTGCACCCCATGTTTGATTCTATAATAGCCATGGCGACAATTGGACTATGCTGACTGTAGGTTTAGGTTCCACAGAAGGATTTAAAAGTGAACAGAACTACCAAAACCCAATTTTTGGGCCCAATATATTAATACCTTTTTTAGGCCACTGGTCCTCGTATCTCTATTTATAAACCACCTAACTTGCATCTTAGTGACAGCTGCCTCGCTATGTGCCCCGTCGGATGAAATGAATCATTGACCGATGCTGCCAAGTCATTTCTCAAGTGTGCAGCGATTTTCGTGCAAACTATTGGTCGCTGCGTAAGACAGCCATATGGATGGGAGTTGTGGTAGTTGGTGTGACAGGTTGTTTTGTATTATCAAGAACAGCATTTCTGTGTTGAAATTAGATCCTGAGGCGAATAGTTTGAAAACTGTAAAAAATTCTGGTTAGTTTGAAAGGTGATGTTGCCGGGTCTTTTAGCGTTGTGCTGCAGATATTGTGGCAAGAACTGTCCGATTTTTCCTGGGGATTCTGTGTAGGTAGGCTAGTTGAATGACAAAGCAATACCGTCCAAACGACAAATTCCAGTGATATATTCAGTGACGTCGAGATGTGGATCGCTTAGTGGTAAATTATCACTTATAAGTGTGGTGCTGTCTGGGACTAATGCCTTGTTAATTACTGTCTGCATATTTTATTCATGCGTGACTACGTCACCTTAAAGTGCGCAGATGTTTGGACGACACGGTCGGCCACTCGTACATTGCACTAACTCGCCGTGACAATACTTGCAAAGGGATGGTTTCGTTGTAATTTTAATCATAAAAGTCCCTTCTCTCGGATACACTTACGGCCCATTAATATGCAGGTGTTTGTACGAATGAACGAGTTTTCATAGGTATCAAGTCTACGCAATGCTGGTTGTATTAGTAAACAACTTATTTAAGGGCCATTCTCTGAAGAAATTTTCTGATCAGTTTGTTTGTGTGGTCCACAATCGCTGTTGCTTCGGTGGTGAAGGAAATTGATATGATACAAGTGACCTGCACAAAAACAATTTCTCGGATATCTTTCTTAAGTTTATTATATTATTAAACCCAAAAACGAATTTGGTAAGGTACATTTGCGTACCCAAGCTAAATAACCTCTTACCTAAATGTATCCTTTTTAAAGAGTTTGACCTGACGTTATATTGATCTATAGAGGATAGCGTTATCTACAGCAATAAATCCCTACCGATAATCTCATTTTCATCAAGATCAGCAAAACCGAATTTATATTAGGTCGGGTTGATTGTTTTACAAGCTCTCTTTGCATGAGTTACGACCCAATGATGTACTTAGTGGATAAATCATCAATCACTTCAATCTTTGCTCATTCTGTACTTAAAGGTCTCAAATCACCCCCCCCCATTAGCACTAATTTCTCGAAACCAGTGCAGCACTTCAGTGGCAGATCTAGTGTTTGTGCCATTTGCAGTCAACGCTTTTCAGTTCATGCAGCCGCGGTATATCCAGATTCAGCCACCGACTGTCCATTATCTTTAAATCGAAACCAAACTTCGCTAAAAAACGGAATAGGCGAGGTTTCGGCTGGAGACTGATGCGGATTCGCGGGAGGCGAAAGTGGTTGCTCCTTTCCTTAATGGTAAAAAGCCGCGTCCTGAAGCACGCATTTGCGTTCATGCCCTGACCTCGTGCCTCCACTTGGCATCGCGCCCCCTGTTGTAAACATCCGTGGCTGGCTAGATTTGTCTCGGGCAAAAAACACTCGCGATCTGTCTGCATTGCCGACTGGCGGTGCAGACACGCGAATGTATTGATAATTATCGCCAACGCATAAACTAAGTGTTGGCAACAGTTTTAAGAGGCCTCTCATGGACATGCAAACGAGCACATGTGCTTCCTGTCAAAAAGCTACCGCCTAATCAACCCACAGTGGGAAATTATTTTCTTATTTTGTGCTTTAGTCCATTCTGTAACGAGGTTTTCTCTTTAGTGCACACTGAAGCGGCCTATTGTTGGGTCGTTACGTCTTCTCATTATCAATGGCACACGATGACTTGGAGTATGCGTTGTCTGTGCCTGAAGAAAGAAGCTAACCGCACTCACTTTTTTAAGTGAATCTGCTGCTCTGATTTACCCCTCACGACTTTGCACTCTTACTTTGGTGCCCAAGATGGTCCTCAACAAGTCGACCCAAGCCCTCTCCTCCCTCTAAGTGCGTAGACGCCCTTTTGGACGGGAGACATCAACTAATTCATTCTAGCATTAATCTGTGTTCCGTGGTGTGCCAGTCTTTCAGTAAAGGAAGTGCTCGTTGAAGCGTTCTTGTTCTACTCCAGTGATACTGCATTCATCCAAAAAATACCCAATAAATAGGGCTTATTTCCTGACTGCGTGACCAATGTAATAGATTCTCCCGATGGATATTGGCAACTCACCGATTTCCACGATTCTGGCATGTGGTCTAACGGTTTTACCTTCATATCAGATTTTCCATTAATAAAATTGCATCCTTGTATGATTAAGTTGATACACCATTCGTCATCATAAGCACTGGCCAACGTTTTACCTGAAAGTGATCTCTACGTCCGAACTTAATGTTTAAATTTTTATTAGTCCACGCCCCATACATCCGTTCTACGCTTGTTTCAAATTCTTCGAATGAAGCATTTTGTAGACCAGCGCCTTATCAGATTGTCTCACATGCTCTCAGCTGGGCCTCTTGAATTAATCTTTGCCTTTTCCCAATGGGCATGCGTGTTGAATACCCTCATTGTCACTCCTGTAAGGCCTGCAAGCACAAGTAGCATACCTTTAATAAGCCTTTCTCACTGAAATAATTGCTACAAGTATGACGAAAACTGCTATCAACGGACACCGAAATGGGTTCTTCACTGTTGTGGTAACTACATTATGCACATGGGAGGTAATTAGAGGCTTCAAAACCAATCACACAGCGTCTCCTGATCCATGGAAATTCACATACCAAACTAGGGAGGGTAACAGTCCAGCAATTTGTGACGATTTCTCTCTCCTAGCCAAAACTAAGGCCTTATCACTTCACGTCATTTCTCCAAACGCTATTTTAATCGAGGCATCAGGTAGTGTTCCTTCCCCGATCTTCTTGCAAATTAGATGGCTGTGCAATGCGGGTTCGCCTTGAACCAAGTCGGGTGTCATGCCTATTTCAATGTTTATAGTGACAGCCTGCTGCTTCGTTCCTCTCCATGACTTTGTCTACTCCTGATGCGCCAGTTATATTCGACCGTCCCGTTTACCCGGATGACTTCTACATGCCATTTCGAATACAGACACACTTCGGCGAAGTAAATTCCACAAACACCTCACCTACTTTGGATACTTATTGTGCCACTTTAATCAGCTTTTTCCGGGTCGTTTCCACCTGTTTGATTTCCAAAAAGAAACTAAATAGAATCGGTGCATAATGATTTTTTTATTTCATTTTCGACTCCTTTAATTCTACGACGGCCGCCGATTTTGTGGTTTGGTCAAATGCAGTGACGTAGTAGATTTGATAACTAGACCACCGGCCAACTTATCTTCCGCGGGTTCCTCGGTTCCGGCTCTAAGGGCCACTGACCGCGCACCCTCAGTTGTGGCACAAAGCTGTGCTTGTCTGGATTCTGCATTCCTGTGATGTTGTGCTGGGCTTTTCACCATTTAAGGACATTCGTCCAGCCTTTTGACATAGCAGCACCCTTACGCATGCTTTCAGTCGTAGCTGGTTTTTAATTTATCACCAGCAGCGAACAGGTGGTGTTGTACCCACTGAAGTGAGCATTTAAGTGCTCGGTTGGTCCTCCTTCTGTGCTTTAAAATAGTACTCACAGGGGTACGTGTTTGTATTTTTTCGATTGGCCGAACTAGGGCTAGTCAATAGTTCATAACATCTAATCACCCAGCGGGTTTATTTACTCATCTTCAACTGGAAACCCTAGCCACATCGCTACTACTCCGGTAGGTCTTTTTCACCTCGGTTCACATCATTTCGCGCACGATTTTTCAGTTTGTTTGCCAGAACTAAATGTTGTATTTATGAAATCACTGATCTGAATAATACTTTTCGCGCAGCTGATATTTTTGTTTACCCTGAGGTACAATAATATGTGCGCTTTGTGACTGGAGATTGCTGTTACTTGTTGCAAAAATCTCGGTGTGCCATTGCGGTTGGAATGGCCCATTGAAAATTTTCTCAACAAACCTTCCTCTTTTTTAAATCCCATATTTGCCTTCCGTTTGCAAAATGGCCGCTGCACCACTTTATTCTAGCCTAACATGGCTTGGCCACGTTCCGTTTTCACATGCAGTTTGTCGTGGTGGCGCCTTAATCAGCACGCCACTGGGACGGGCTGACCTTTGCGTGGCGGCGGCGGCGGCGGCGGTGGTGGTGGTGGTGGCAGGCGCGAATTCACGGGCAGCCTCAGCGGTTTTGATTGGGAGCGCAAGGATGATGTCTTGCCGCCATGTTGTCAAATGTGATGCTCCGTGATTTAGCATTTTTTATCCTGGGAACTTTCGGGGTGCAAGTATGAGTTAACATTTTCCACCCAATCAGCACCAAAGTACTAAAAAACAGCATTTGTCCGATTTCTTGTTGGCGTCCTGGTATGGATTCTCTAAAAAAATCAAGCACTAAGCCTTTATTGCTTCGACGTTTTAGTAAGCCCTTGGGTCTCTAAACGTAGCCAAGTGATTTTAGGCCCAATTTCCCAGAACGTACAATTCTGTTTCAAATTTATTTGGCTGAATCTTTTAGCAGTTGGAATTTACCTGTGATGAGATTTGCAAAAGGCACGTCGTCGCAGCAACTAAAACCCCATCATTTACTCCATGTGACTCTTTTTTCGAGTTAGTGGTGGGCCCTTCAACTTTATCAGCCTAGCAACGTTCACTCAGACAGTCATGAGGGCTGGATACACACGCGCCAACGCCCCGTTTATCGATCCGTGGCCACATGCGCACGTGCGACCAACGCACACGGCGTGCGCGCGCCCTCGTTGTTGCTAATACGCCGTGACCCTGCGCGTTAAGACCGGGTCCGGCTCTTCCGAATTCCCAACTTGTCGCTGCTGCCACTGCTGCCACAAACCCCATTACTTCCCCAATCGTTATTTACTGGCTCTGTCCCCTTCACAGTGATTAATGATTTGTTCTTTCGACGCCAAGCTCACTTTGTCGTCTTTATTTTGCGCTGGATTAGTCTAGTTACTTTAAAAAAAACTTCAACTTGGGATGACAGCTATATTGTCGGGTGGGCAGAGCCATTAAACCATCTTTTGTCGTGTTTTCGGCCTTTCATCCAACGTGTTCATTGGTTTTCCACCAGAAAAACGATTAGACGCATCATTTATCTAATTAACTTGTTCAACCGTTCGTCTTTTTTGGCTCAAGCATAAAGTCCTCTAAATATTAATGTAATTTTTTTCATCTTGAACTGTTTTTATCGGTGTGCGCAAAGCTTCGTGATCGCTTGTGTCCATATTCCTACAAGAATCCATTATGGTTGCGTACAAGTACCAGGTGTAAGTCCATTATATGTGTGGTGAAGTCTTACGTGTTTTTGCCCCGCATGCGGTGGTGGTGATTACTCACGTTCGTCGCTAGGACTTATAGCATCAAAGTAAAGGCCACTGCCCTTAAACATGACAGGCTTGAGTGTGGGTAGAAGCGCGAGTTAATTGGCTGCAAATAATTTTGTTGACTTTGGAAAGTGACCGGTGCGTGTCAGACACCTCTATCCGATTGGTTGTTTTGTCACCCATTCGTTCGGACTGTACGCTGACTCATCTGTTTGAGTCCAAAGCGCTTAAGGTTAGTGCTCCAATTATTTTGATGCCTGAATGCAGCATCAGCCTTGTCTCTATTTGTGGAGTCATCGTTAATGCGTTTTTCAATGCTATACCCCAAACTGAGAGCAAGCCGGACAGCCGGAATAGTGTTCCTGGTGGACCCACTTACTCCGACTCTCTCACATGCCTCTTTAGTTCTGTTTGTTTTATTAGCAGAAGGCCGGATGTATTTTCACTTTTCCCGTTTCCGACACTAGGAATACAGGCGTGTTTCCTATTATCCTCACCCCGCGAATCAGATATCAATTCGTGGGTTTTTATTTGGTGTTTATCGAACGGATAATAGCATAGTGATAAGTTGGCCGCCAAAAATGAAGGCAGGTAGAACCAGAATGACGACCTTTGGGATAAGCTTCGTCGTTTAGCACCTAGAAGGAGCGTTTGCATTATCATGTCATTTGGTTGGCCCACTTGAAGGAGCTCTCAAAAGTGCAAAGCAGACTGGCGACCCACAGTGCAATTTGCCCTTCATCCATGGAATTGTTGTAAGCCCTGCGATACAAGTACAAGTTCCTCTAGGATCACCTGTTGGTGGAGTGGATGATGGATGTCTTAAGCAAATATTCCCTCTGATTTTTCTGCTCTGGTGTGTGTGTGTGTGCGCGCGCGTATCGACTTCTCACGGGTTTCGCGCTGAATCTCGCGTTCACCATCCACTCTACTTAATGGGATATTAGTCATGATGTTGGATAAACCTTGTAAATTTGGTTTAGGCGTAGTACTGGTGCTTGTGTGGATGCTTTACACCACCTTCGTTTATCTGAGTTGATTGTTTACGTGTCCTCGTCAGCGCTAAATTACACGGTAGTTTAGAGTCACTTGGATTGTCACAGTAGTATTTTGTGGTCCAAATTGACCATATTCTTACTCCTCGGAGTGATTCATCGGATGTTGTGCACCCCGTCTTAAAAAATGCACTATCCTGTGTCGGTCCTGTTGTCTTGACATGAAACGAATCGCAGAACCCGTTGACATGGACACTTCCGTTTACTCGTCTCCCAAACACACTGAGTCGTTTTGTTTTGCAGTCAGCTGTATGAAATGCCACTAACCTTTTAACAGTTTTTAACAGTAATCTTACTCCCATTTTTACCTCACAATTATGTCTGACTTGACCGACCAACTGCCCTTCATCCAGGATTATCCCTCGCTTTATTGCAGTCCACAACGTAAAAGCTCTCATAATATTAATTACAGTGTATTTTGTTGTTATCTGCTAGTTAGTAGACCATGGAGAGTCAAAATTAGTCAGTGGGGCTGGACTGGTTTGACTTTAGTCTGTAGTCGCCATCCAATTGTCGCATTTTTCCTTGATGCGAAACTATTATTTCTCCTGCAATGCATTCTTGCACTGAAGGTTCTAGTCATTCCGACTTATAGGTCATTTCATTCATTACCGACAGGGTAATCTTACAGATTGTGAGTTGTATTCTGTCATTCGGAACACGAAGACTTAACTTGGTTGTGGCACACTTTATTCTGGTATTCACAGATGCCATCGCTTTCTATCGACGTTCTTGCGGACGTGGAGCTGTGACTTTGACATTCCAAACACAAAGGCTAATTTCATTGCATTCAATCTTTCTAGTATACACAGAGGCCACCACGTTGTAATTCATGTCTTATCGGTGTCACTTGTATTTCTGTTATTCACAAACGAATTCTGTGTGGTACGAAACGAAAAGCGTTGCGTTTTAATCGCTAGTGCCCGATTTCATGAAGTACCCAACTGCAAGGTAGCCCGCATTCCCAAAAGCGCAATTTTTATTATCTGTTGTTTGAGGAATTGTTGAAACAGACGTCCTTTCTATTTCTAAGTGATGCCCTAGTCATTATGAATGGCCCACTTTTGTCTCTTCGGTACCAGCTAACTCAGTATCCACCAATGTTCTGTAGTCTACAGAAAGACTGAAACTTTGGCTCAGTTTGTAGTTGACGCACTACACTTGTGTAAGCGTTTTAGTCAGAATGATAGCGGAGCAGCAACAAGTAATGTGCTGTCGGTTTTAGTCGGAGATGTGGACCAACTAGTTACTCACACTTTAGCTAACTTTATTGTGCACAAATAAAAATACGCTTCTATGCTATGGCTGAGTGCCCACTGTCATGTATTTGGCTTGTAACTTTTAAAAACTGATTATCTAGTGAACAAAATAGTGTCCTGTGTTTGGCGCCTAGAGTTATCGAAGTCTCGTGACTAGCTCGGTCCAACAACAGCTAGTTATATTATTTTCTAAGTAAAGAGAAATCTGTTGATGGTTTTTTGACAATATTGGTCTACAAGTTGGGAGGGTGGTCTATGACTAAGTAACTTTTATCCGCATTATGATTTACTTCGCAATACGTCCCTTTAAATAGGGCACGCGTGCTTCGTATTCACAAGTTATAGTAAAGATAAAGTTCACTTTGTTTCTGCACTTTGGCACATCAGCCAGCATTATGGCATTGGTGTGCTCGGCACCTGCGCATTCATTTCCCAATTTGACCGTTAGTCTTTCTGTTGATTTGCCCATTCGTATGACTGCCTGTGATTAGGTGGACTAATGCATCAGCACGTACGTGGTAGACACAGATGGATTAAGGTATGGGTAGAAGTGCACCCACGCACCTTCCGTAGAAATTATTCCCATCGCATCTTAATAGATACACACGGATTTGATTTTTTAGACCCAGCATCTTTCTGACAAGCAAATCACTATCCACATGTCAACACCCGCATTCCTTTTCAAATGATTTATGCTAAGTTGCTGACTATTTATGCTCCACTTTAGCCGATTTAACGGATGTAATCAGTTTAGTTGTCAGACATGGGCTTAGACGAGTGTCTTGTTTCTTATTTATATCTTATTACCTCACAAATTCCTTCGCTTATCCTTGGCACAAAACAATTTCTTCGTATTGTGCTTAAAGTCCTCAGGAAATATTGGCTCGAATCGCACTCCCTGGTCCCCAAAAATCGTTTTGCTGCACGTTTCTCGTCTTTTGTTTCGCTCACACACGAAAGGCAGGTTATTGTTTTGTTGTACTGTGGTCGCAAATGAGCTGATTTAATGTATTCACACTTGTGTAACGATGATCATAAACTGTTGGTCCGAATAAGATGGTGCAGTGATTAAAGTTTTAATGTGGGTCGAGGTGCGGCTCATTTTTGCTAGGATCTGCATTCTCACATTAAAAAAACCGTTCTTCTGGTGCAGGCTTCAAGTCGTCCGGAGTGCATCGTGGCGTTATCGCGTATTCGGCATTGCGGTGTCTTCTGTGGTGCAAGGGAGGGAGCCCAGGCTGAGGTCTGCCCGTCTGCCTGTGAAAATTTCATGAAGACCTGCCTTTCCGACGGCAGTTCCGATTCCAACAAGTCGCTGCCCCGTCTCTGGTCTCGGTTTATTGGTGAGTGTTTAGGGCGAGAGAACCGAAGTGTTAAGGAGTGCTATCGTATGCCGTTTTTTACTTGTGTTTAGTTAGAATTGAAAACACAATCTGAATCCGGTAATACTGAACAGCATACAGTTGTCAGTTTGGTTACTTACCAGTAGCAGTGCAAGTTTATATTGTTGACAAATTGGCGGCCAACGTAGCGGCGTCGGAACTGTCTTGGCGACGTGTCAAATTTTTACTATGTGAAAAATGTTTTGGTTGGAAAAAGTCGCATCTCAAAGTGTGGCAGCATCCCAGTCCCACTGATAATTTCACACTGTGAACGCAACAGAATGTGGAGGTCCGACTCTGATGCGGTTTTGCCACTTGTATTTCCATTAATTAAATGCTGCTGAGGCAAAGGACACCTTTCGAATTGCAATGGGATCTCGGCTTTTGGTCTATCATAAACGCCTCACGGGTGTCAATCTGTGGTAACGGATATTTACCATTATGCTTCTCAATATTTAATTCACATGTCTCGATAGTTTTGTCTACACAAGTTTTTCGATTTAGCACGAATAAATGAATGTTACAGTTTTATTCAAGCTCCACTGACAAAAAAACGTCTTCACAACTGCGACTTTGATAATGCTGTCAGTGGTCTGTGTGTGAAACGTTGACGTTGGCACACGTATCTCAACTCTGCCCGATTACGGCACGTCGATTCAGCACCCTCACTGGACCCGCTATTGAGGGCACAATTTTGATCGAAGTTACCGACTGGCAGGAAGGCGAGGCAAAACACGTTGATAATCGCCATTTGTTGTCCAGTGACTTTAAGCAACTTTGCAGGTAGTGTCTCTAAGTAACTGGGTTTGAGATAGCTAAGGCTAATTTATTTTTTCGTGGCCGTACAAAGTAGTATTTAGATATGCTAGTAAAAAGGGGGGTCTAAATCGAGGACAGTTTTTGTAATTGTGTTCATATTTGTGTGAATCAACACCACACACATCCCGAGGTTAACCCATAGAATGAGTTGAATCGTAGTCCAGGAGAATAACAACTGTGGGCCACTATTCAACTTGTAGCTACAAAAATTAGTCTGCCGAAGGCGCTAATTCCCTTTCCCTCTAGTCATGAATACGATGCACATTAAGTTCCATTTAGCTAGTAAATCCAGCTCTTTCTTGGCCGTACTCCGATAGTGCTGTCACCACCGACCTGTAATAACAGGTGTTACTGTCAGCAGGTCAGCCCATGTCTCTAAAATCACTGGAAAACAGATGTAGCCAGACTTTTGACGTAGCCTCATCTCGAACACCGGTTTGCTTATCCCTCTCCGGCGACTAAAAGCAGGCAAAGATAGCCAGGGCTTGCTCCGGTGTTTTTGAGAAATGCTTTGTGGCAACTTTGGGCGAAAACCTTCACTTGGCGACTGAAAGAACCCATCCTCTCGGTCACTTTATCTCCAAAATCAGTGTATTTAGAGTCTTTCCTTGAAATATCGGCTGTATCAATATTACCCCGGCTTTGTTTTTAAATGGTTATAAATAGGAAATTTACCCAATTTCGTACAATTTTCTGTTTTATTGGTTTTTGCGCATCCCCACCTCACTTAACCTATTCTAGTTTGGCAGGTAGCCAACCTGTCGACCGCGCTGTAGCCAACCCTTTTTTTCTAGTTGTGCAACTTAGCGGTGTTAATCCTCGCGTCTTGTAAGTGGCTGATTGGATGGTCAGTTGCCGCACAGCCGCCGAAGAAGTTTACGTGCTTGCGACCCAGCTAATATATACTTTCTTTCACGTTTTAGCCGACGCCCAAACATGTAAATGGCTTCGCATGTATCTTTCTATAGGCTATCTAATGCTGCGCGAACCGAGGTGATTTTAAGTGAGTGTGATCACGCGGCTAAATTCGATGTGTCCACTTTGCTGTTTGCGTTTGTGATCTATTGGGATAGACTCAGTCGCTCTTGATGATTGTGGATGCGTGTCAGTCTACGTCCTGCGCTGAACGTGTTCAAAATTAGCCTCGGCAGCTCAGGGGCCGGGGACACCTATGGTTATTATGTGCTGTCTGATTTTCTTTAGAATTCAGTAATTCTCCAGTTCTCCGAAAAGAAATAATAGAAAGGATGTCTCGTAGATACTGGCACAGCCAGTTTAGACGAACGAACAAACCTCACATTAACCAACTGCAGTAATAAACACCACTTCATTCACTAGCCAGGAGCCATTTTTGTAATTGTGAGGTCTCCGTTGTCCTTGGCAAGCCATGCCATCTTAACTGGAGACTGTCCGTTCCCCTGTGTGCTGGTTCCATTCACCCCATATGACGAATCGTTGCTCAATCTACGCAGCTTCACGTATTTTAATGTCGTCGCTACGTTGCATTCCATGTATTGTGTACGTTTACCAACTTCTGCGCGTACCACTCAGGTTTGCTATTGAATTCAACTCCTCACCACGGGTAGAACTCTATAAATTTGTCGACCAATCATTGCGTTGTTGCTGTTGCCATCACACACTTCTGAACGCCGGTCTTGTTCCTCCTATCTCCTCACCAAGCGACGCATAACTTACTCAAGTTTCAGTGTGGTCCTTCGTGCCAGGCTCTGTGAATTACTGATTAAAACAGATTAGAACGTTCTTTATGGGGTTTTTCTCTTTAAGGTTACTTTAATGAGATTCACCTATGCATGGGCTTGCTGAATGAACGTAGCAACGTGGTCGTCTTGGCTGAATGCATTAACCGGCTAGTTTAATTCTCACTTGAGAGAAGCAACATGAAAGAAGAACCACACGTTCCAGCCACACGGTACTCAAATAAGCTATTAGGCGACCAGTGGAGTTGTTTGTGCTTTTTTTAAAACTCTTTGTGGGGAGTCAAATCTGCGTTAACTTCATGGGAGGATGTTGCAAGCCAATGCTGCTTCTGTTTCAGTTGCCCCCACAGGCCTTTTGACAGTAAGCACAAAGTTGAACTAGCGTGGTCGAAAGTACATCTCTTATTTGTGGAGTGTTGTAACAAGCGTGTTATCGTGTACAGCCTGTTGTGGTGGGTTGCCGAGGGCTCGTAGGCGAAATCTCAAAGGTGGAAGCATCCAGCCTCAGCCAAGTATGTTTTTTTTGTGTGACTTGTGACGCAATTTCGGCAATGAAAGCATCGTCCAACCGACCTTTTAGGTTGTTGAAAATCTCTTCTGACCGCACATTGTGCGTTTATTTTTGTAGAGACGCTTACTGTGAGAGTGAGGTTCAATGCCATGATTAATCATCGAAACTAGAGTATTTTAATTAGAACAACACAATCGTATGTTCATGTCATTGACAGAATTGTAGTCTTAGGAGCAGCAAGTTATTATTCTCTCACCCCCTCGCTATGTAATAAAAATACAATTCTAGGCAACTCAGGGACATAACGCAACCTGTGGCCTATTGGTTAAACTCAGGTTAGGTGCCGCTCCATACTTTTTATATATTGCATTCAATTTTGAACCTAGAGGGTCTTCTGAGTACGCTTCTGTTAAATAACATTGGTCACTTTTAAACGCTGACATTAAAGGGAGTTCAACTCTTCATTGAGTAGAATAATTAACTTCACGTTCCTGTGTGGTTCAGCGTGTCCGAGAATAGTCACTTAGGGTTACGATCTTGGGAATCAGGAAACCACCTATATAAACATTTCATCCACCCACAATTAATCACATCCTAGTCTCGAGCGAGCGCATCAATGATTACCCATGAAGGCTTCCTTTAAGATATCTCACCATTGACCAGTGACATCGAGGATCGGTAATAGAATATCGTCTTTGAATTTTATAGTTTGTGTACGGAGGGACTCGTGTGCTGTAATTGGGAAGCAATTGTGTCGAGTATTATCATCCAAGACATGCGTAGAGAGTGTTTTAAGATCGGATGGCGAACAGCAGAGTTTAACATTTCTTGAACCGCCACTTGCGATTTCACGCAGTCACGGGAAATGGCCCCAGATGTTATCTCGTCTGTGAGCATCCTTAACTATCTGTTGGAGAAGGCCAGAGTAGGGCCGATTCTCTGCCAAAGTGAAGATAAGGTTTTTCGGCTTTGGGCCGTCGCAGACTCGTTTTTGCGTGGAGGAACAATTATGGCAGCATGGACACTGCAGTCTTTTTGTGACAATATAAATCATACAAGTATAAGAAGCATGCTAACTTACCATACTGACTTAAGTGTTTGAGGATTGAAAAGAGGCTAATTTACGTCCATTCGCGCAGGCGAAGGCCCACTACGTGAAATCTCCCGAGCTGGTCGGCATCGAAGCAGATGCTGTGGTCTCCTTGTGCCACGGTTTTGTACTGCGCCGACCCGACTTCATGCAAAACCATAGAGTAGCTCTTCATCCCCAGAACACTCCCGGTTGCACGCGTGGTAACGACTGGAAGCAAACCGTAACGTACCGTGCGGATATGGATAAGGCTAATTCAAAAGCAAGCAAACCTTTGCATTAGAAATCCAAAATAACGCATCCCATGTGTTTTGAAAACCTGGTGGAGTCGGTGTTGGAAAGGGGCAGGAAGGTTTTCTGGGTGCGTTGGCTAACGAGTGAACCGGTTACGGTGTATATAATTGTGAGGTAGGATGGTATTTGTGCATTAAAGCTTCGATGGATGACAAATGGTTCTTTTTATCGAAAAGTAAAGTTTATCTTTTACTGCCCTAGTTCGCGTGGTTTTTCCTGTTGTTTACAACAAAGATTGACAATGTGGTAGCAAATTCATGTAATATCCTTTGGCTCCTTTCGATCCGTCATCTCTGTGTTTGTCGCCTTCCTGTGGGTCATTAACCTTTCTTGCTGTTCAAAGCCCTCAGCGTTTGGGTGGTCGGTGAACGCAACTATCAAGTCTAAGTTCAATTTAATCAGTATGTACGCAAATACTCGCAGCTTTATAAATCACATTTTATGGCCATATCAAACGCATTTGCGCTTGTAGCGCAGCTTACCGTTTTTGCAACTACGACACAAGCTGATCCCATGCCTCCCTTTGCAAAGTCGGCCATTCATGTCTTGCAATGCCAGCATTATTTATCAGTGAATCAGCAGACTTGTACTTACTGTTTACCACTGGGTTTCATCAATTATGCCCCCAAGCGTAACATTCGAGGGAAGTGGATGCTAATGTCAAAGTCTCCACCTCCGCAAGTCACAGCCTTTTCCTCTCTTGATGCCCGTCGAAATAGCCTTCTGAACTAGTCGTTGGTGATTTTGCGGACTGTTTGACTAGATGAGCTTTGACGATTTCACTTTTGTTAGTATACATTGACCGAACTCGACTTTGCACAGAGTCAAGGTTTGGTGTGAAAATGCTGACATTTGTTTCAGCATTTTGTGATTTCCTCACCCTCCTCTGAGCTGTTTAGGTCGTCGTTGTGTGTCAGATCTAATAGCCCTGGTGTTGTCCATGTTTTTCAGTCGTACTTGTTTCGCCTCTAAACACCGCTCGAGTACTTTCTTTGATAAGAACTTTTCGCGCGTAAATGTTGACATCGAAAATTTTAGCCATCTTGCGTCCAGTTGAGAGCCACAGCATTACTTAGCTTTTCAGTTAAATTCGGGGTTAGCTCGTCATCCCTCAACTGATTGGCCAGTGTCTAATTTGAACCATAAATTTCACGCCTTCCTCTGCGGTTGTCCCGAACCTTATGGAAGTTGATCGGGTCTGAACGAAATCAAGAGCGACATTCGCACAGCTTAAGCACAGGTTTATTGCAATGACGCTCTCACTTGACAGCCGTAAAAGCTAAGTACCGGTTTAACTAAATGTCCCTAAACCGCTTTGTGCCCACCTCCATCAGTATATTGAGAATGTTACATAATGACATTGAATGTCGACGCTCGCATGTAAGAAGCGTATAGGATGCCTCTGCTTTGTGCGCAATAATTCATGCCATTACAAGCTTACCTGACTATTGGATCCTTGTCTCGGATTTTGGTCGTGCATAACAGTATCCCACTCTCTCTCTCTCCCTCACACACACACACACACACACTCACAATCCGGGCAGTAACCGTCCTTTACCTGGCGAACTTACATTTGTCTAAGAACGAGGAGTGGTCAAGGTAGCTACTTTGATGAATCTGCTTATGAATTGATCCATTACTCGATAAGCCCTAGTCCGAATATGCACCGGATAGTTTTTATTAATCTGTTAGTCTCATTAATATTTGCATATTTTTGAATTTTCGTAACAAGCTTTTGATAATGCATTATAGATGTAAAAGATTCGCGATTGTGATACCGGATACAAAGTCTTTGTTTCTGATATTTTGCGTTCTGTTAATTTATGCATGTCCGACGATAGTTACTGGGCATCTTATGCATTCACTGGTTTTATTCTCAAACAAGGGTTGGTGATGCCGTTTTTCTGTATCAATTAGATGCTCTTACATTGACAACAAAACGGCTGGAGAGGACGTTCAATTTTGCTACGGTGAACAAGGATTTACACATTTTCCTCTCCGAAGCAATTACTTTTGTGCACCAAAAGTACGCTCAAGTGAAGTCTTCGGTAAGTTTTGAATCCTCTCCTCGAATTGCTCAAAAGGAAAATGTGTAAAGGGCTCACCCGCACCCCTGACGCCCTTAAGGGCCCACTGTGGCTCGAACTTCTGCACTACCCAAATACCAAGTAAAATTAACAGAAAACAACCTAATGTGCCAACTCTGCAAAGAAATTTGAAGTAGACATGTACAGTAAAGCTGGAATGTCAGATAAGATATCATGAAGAGTGTCACAATGCTAATGACATTTTTCGGGGTTAAAATTCATCTGCAGATATCGGCGCGGAGCATTGTTTGCCGCTCACTCCACCCTCTGCCTCATGCCTCACCAACTCAACGAAGGGGCAACAGAAATTCTGCTTAAGTTCTTACACACACGCATGTTGGTTTTTCTAGGATAAACATTGAGATGTTTTTCGGACCTTGTGATACTCTTGGTAGTGTTCTGCTGAAATCACGTTAGCTTGTGATGCCATTCGAGTCAAACCTCTGAGTGCTTAGTAGACGCCAGGACAGCTGCCTCGCCGATATAGTACACGTTGAAAATCTCGTTTAAGACGACGTACGCTTATAGGGTTATTAAGACACTTGTAAAAGCGAGGGACAATGGAGCCTGATATTAAAGTGGGATTCGATCTAGTATGGTTTCGGTTCACGATAATTCCCTCTTACAAGAATCTGTGGATTTTAAAAAAGCAATAAAGTCTAAGCAAATGCAACCAACAAGTCTGATTTGAATTACTTTAAATCGGTGGTTTAGTCGTAATTGAGATTTGAAAACTATTCGGTTTTGTGGTCCTAAGGGTTCAGGCTTGCCCAGTCAGTCTGCCCACATTCAACAACAGACACCTTGAAATTACTGACTGAGGTGTAAACTTGGTTCTTGAGATAACCACGGCATAGTGTTTGTCGGATAAGCGCTTTTAGAAATTATGGCCAATCCGGGATAAATTGATTGAACAGCATGTTTACTGTTGATAAGCCAGTGGCATATGTCATTTTCTTGCCTTTCAGCTTATCCAGGAATGCAAATCCAGTGCTGGTGGACGTGGTAGCGGTGCCAGCAACGCCCCTCCTCCGTATAATCTCTCTCCCAGCGGTTGGCAGTACCCCTCACGCCTTCGCCGATCCGCCGACAATGCCTCCAGCGCCGCCGACGCGTTGCTGCGCGAGAGACGCCAAAGCGGGTACCCAGGGGAGGCCTGGCGGCAGTCCGAACCCCCCGGCTGGGGGGCGTCGCAGCAGCCACCACCGCGTGGAGGCGGCGGTGGCGCCTACCAGCCTTACTTCCAGCCCGGTCGACGATCAGGCGGCAATCCGTCGATGCAGCCGTCGCAGCAACCGCAACAGCAGCACTCAGCGAATGCGCCAGAGAAACTTAACAAGTGGGCTACCCAATTAAAGTTTTATGTAAGTTAAAAAAGTCTTGCTTTTGTTCAATTTTGGTGGGTTTAGTAATCTAAAACAATGATTGCAATCACAATGCAAGATCTAACCTCTTCTCAGCTATCTTTAAAACATGACTTACACGAACACGCAAGTCTAGTGCATGGCTGTGTGTTCAATGTCATTTCAGCTCCAATCGTCATTTTCCTTTCACACTAAACACCAGCTTTTATGTAATAAAGTGGTGATGAAATATGGTCTCAATAATCAACCGTGGTGTAAGCATCACCTCGTTACAAAATTAACAATGGTTAAAAAACAGTGTGGAACGATAAGCCAGCCACCTCTGACTCGGTATTCCCACGCACGCCTTTTTTTCTCCACCTTATGCACCTCTAAAAAGACGTGGGGAGGCCGTGGACACCTTTATTCTGTTTTCCGGCCTCTCGATGCGTGAGTCGCGAGCACCCATTCACTTGAACAAGTGTGGCTGAATGGCGCGGCTCGCGTTTCCGCTTTCGTTGTTTAAAACTGCGCACCTAAATAGCCGCTCAATTCTTTGGCTGACACAATCACACACACACGCAAACTGTTTACGCAAAAATGACATCAAACCGAAAAGTTGTATAGCGGATTTCAATTTATCGGGTGCCTCGAAAGTTTGCAATAAACATGAACACACCTGTAATCATTCTCTATTGAACCAATCACCTTTAAAACCACGGGCTCGCTACTTCCCCCAATATCAGTCTATTCATTGTTTACCCAAGGGAGCTGCTTTGGTCTTGAATTCGAGCAACGTCCGACTTTCTAATGTATTTCTGCAATTTTAGATGTAAGAACCCGTACTACTTTCGGGAAAGTGCGTGGTAAAACTTACCAGTTTTTTTGTTAAAGCATCTGTTTATGACGTTCGTTGTTTTGGATAATTTTCCCTGTTTTTGCAGGGTTTTTTTCACAGGTAATTTGTTTTGGATTTGTGGTTACAGTTCGTTGTTTGATTTTGCAATTTTTATGTCCCAACTGCCGTCACTGACGACTGTCCCTGGTTTCTTGTCATTTTAGTACTCGGGTGTGAAGGATTTATTCGCCCGACCACCTTCGACTGTGTGCGCTCCTGCCGCTCAGTCAAACACTGCGTGTTGGAACCCACCACCTGTTGCATCGTAAGTCGTTAGCTCAATTAACGCTGTCAAAACGTTGAGTCAATTGCTTGTTGAAAAATCCCTCAATAGGCATCTGACCCATTCGATAAGAACAACTACATGCGTACTTAATCTCGATTTAAGTAATCTTAGTTTTATATCTACGGTAGCAAGACCCGAAACATCGATTTGGATTCGGTGTTCTTGGTGTGGTTACCCAAATCATTTTTCATAAGTTCGCGAATTCAGAACGAAAAATATTGAAACTTTTTGAAAGCAACTCTGGCCTCGAAATAAGCACGTTTTTAGTTTTTTTGTTACAACCAAAAGGTAATTACATTTCTTATATTTGCGTGTGAAACGATCGCAGCTCGGGTCGTTGATATTAGTGTTTCAGTGAACACTCAATTCTCTCAATTTAACATTTGCACGTATTGGTATTGGTAAAACTTGTACCAAACCTGTACAGTTGCTGTATCCTGCTTGCATTGGATGATTAAGCTGGACAAAATACTAAAAATGAATATTCTATTCAAGTGTTCGTTTTGTTTTTGACGGGCGGGTGATTGTGTCGGATTTGGTCATGCACCTGAATAGATTTCTACCCTAGGTGCTCCTACCGACTTTTGTTTCGGCAGGTATTTGACCTTCTAGATTGTAGACATCACCCAATCATTTTCGTTCGCTTTACAGGAGCGGTCAGCCGCATCGGCGCTTGGCAGCACTCTCTGATTTGGTCGCGGCATCGGACCGACTCAGTGTGGTGAACACCAAGAATAACGGTGACCCGGATGCACTCGAGTCAGGAGCTCGAATACTCGCTGAATTAAAGATGCGTAACACATCTACCCACGGTTCCCGTGGCTCGCCCAGCCTCCTACAACCGCGGAACTCGGGCATGCCCTCATATGGACAATCGCACGACCCGTGGAGAATCGGAGGCAACAACTTTCCACCGCCCCAGCCACCGCAACCTGCTGCCCCCTACCAACCACAGCCTGTGGGCGAACCGGTGAGTTGCGTCACCTCTCGGGTTCGGAGTTGGAGCGTGTTTTGGTTCCTGTGGTTTTCTCCACGTTGCACTTGAACGAGGGAGGGAGGTAGCTTAGGTCGAAACCCATTCGAGTTTGGGGATTTACTGAATATCTCTTACATTGGATTTAAACGGGAACTTCAGAAGCCCTGCTTTGACTGCAGCATTCCTGAATACAGCCCAAAAAGGGTGAAACTAATCTTCGAGTTCCTGTTTCTGGAAAGTTCGGGGTCAGAAATAGAATTAACCACTTTCAAAGTTCTCGGGGTTTTTATTTGCCAAACTTATGGCATCCTAAATTGACATTTAGAATAGTCGCGTATCAGCATAGAATTGAACCCAGGGCGATAACTGCCACCTGGGGATATCCTTGTTTATTTGATCCTGGTTAAATATGTTGCCTTTCAATGCGATGCGCTGTTTCTGTGAAAATGATTTTCCCATGTGGACTGGCAGCACTATGAACCAAGGCTGTTTGACAGTAGAACAAGGGCTTTCAGTTGAGAGATTTCTCTTACGAAGGTGCATGAAAATTTCAATCTTTGGGTACCCTCTAAGACTGGTGTTCACATGTAAAATCTGCTGGACCGGCACCAATTAGACTAAAGTAGCTTTAGTCGGCCTTGTCACATCAGGCACCAGCGGCTGTCGGTACACGTAGCTAATAACTCTTTCTGTTTTAGTTTTCCAATAACATGAATATTGATGTGGCAGGAAGTGGATACGAACCTGCGGGTGTAGCTCCACAGCCTGGTTACCCACCAACACTGGGTCAACCCCCATACTCCCTACAACCTGAACGTCCCGACCAGGCGGGCTATCCCTCTCACCGCGCGCCCATCCCAGCCCCCGGAGGAAATCAGCCTCCTCCTCCTCTCAATCAACGTTGGCCTGGGGCTGGGGACATGGAATCGAGTGGATATGGCAGAGAAGGCGAAGAAGAATCATGGAATCGAGGAGACCTTTGGCAGCAACCTCCGCCACCCTCTCATCCGTGGGAGCAACCACCACCTCCTGCCCCTGGTGGTGGTGGTGGTGTTGATGGAGGCAATTACCAGTGGCCTAATAGCTACTATCCAGATCAGCAAGGCAGTGGGGAGCCCTTTTTGCCTGGTCCTGAGGCCTACCCACAACCCGTTGAGACCTCGACAACGACATCAACGACTTTAACTAGCACCACGAGTGGTCCTACTACAGTCGCATCAGAACCACCTTTTACGATGCCGCCGACACCAGCCAGCTCCGTAGAATCCACGTCAGGAGTGAACACAAGCACAATCCAGACGCTACCTCCGCCACCACCACTGCCACCGTCAATTGGTGGATTTGATGATGAAGACTTCGGACAGCCTACACCCCAGCCACAACCTTTGCCGACATCGACCCAAAGACCTTGGGATGCTCGTCAGCCTTCGCCACCGTTTGGACTTGAGGTGAGGGCTTTCATAATCTTTTCTAATTCCGGCGTTGTGATGTACGTTTATGGTGGTGTGTCCTGTTGCCACCTGATTGTAGTGGAAGCTGGTAGTGTTTTCTTATTTTGCGACCAATTAGGGTCCTAATTTTGGTGGCGTCCTGCTTTTCTCATGCGAATTTTCTTCCAAAATCAGCCCACCTTTGTTCAAACTGAAAGATTTTTTACATCATCAAACGGTGTTGCTGGTCGACAATTAACGTGTGCTATTGTCAATCAAGGTCGTTTCGTGCCAACCAATTCTTTTATCATTCGCACCTGGAGCCTTGAATTATCTGAGTTGTGACTCCCTTGGGTTGATGTGGAACCTTCGAGTGCGTGCTAACAGACTCGGGCAAGTCGGAGGTTTTTCAAATGCGGATAGCCCGTGTTGTGCTCTAGTCACAACGCACGTCCTATCGGACCTTTGCATCCTCTCATTAGACAAGCCATGGTGGTTTTGGGCTTCTTGCTTACCCTACATAAAGCCATAATCACTCAAAAAAATTAAGTTCCCTTTGCCTCAAGATTCCTGGACCGCAAATCTCTACTAGTATGGCTGTCCTGGATAAAGTTCTTTGGTTACGTTCCCGTGAGATTAAACGTAACCAAGATTCATTCTACCGGCGATCAGTGGCGTAGTTGACTTCTGAATAAAGACTAACCACAAGCGCATAGAAATCCATAATCTGTGTGTAAGTAATGTGTTGTGTTTTTCGGGTTAATGCATTTGTGTGCATTCAATTGTGTTGAAATCACATTTAAACTTTGACTCAAAACTCATACGAGATATATTAGCTGCGCCTTCATACCTCCCTTCCTCAAAATCCTTTGCTTTTCTTGATAGCACAGTAAATACTATGGTCCACAGTTTTGTTGATACGGTTTTTTTAAAGGTCAGATCAGGTTTTAACATAGCGGGCTAAACAGGAGTCCCCAAGTGTTTCTTGTGCTTTCGTTCAAATGTCAGAGGTATACAGCTCTCTGTACTGGTTTCAGCCGAAAATCAGATAATGGTATGTTTCACATCACGATGCATGATTTTGCCGTGGCTTTTAAGCATTTACTAGCAGTGTCGTCAAACGGCCATTTTTCACCTTTCATGGAGTAGACACCTTTTTCTTAATTTCGGATTTGAGGTTTTATGCTGCAATTTTTTTCGCGAATTCTGAAATGTAAGTGGCTGTAGGCTTTTATGAATCACCATAGGATAACAGAAAAATAATTGCTGTTTTTGCCATCGTTTTCTTCGCATTTTCTCCAGACCTAAATGTGTAGGTGTATGCCGCTAATTAGCAGTTCAACTGTAGTTGTTGATGCTTAATAGCAATGAAAAAAGCAACGGGCCACAAATTTAGCAGTAAGAGTTTTCAGAGTTTTGATTGGCCTTTCCAGACAAGCGGATATTACCCCGGCGGCGAAGGAGCAAGTCGGCCCCTGGGTCCGCATGCGCCACTGCCACTGCCACAAGGCCCGCCCGATTGCTCCCCAGAGGCCATGGCAAGCGCCGGGAGCGGGGTGGACCCACGCTGTCTGTCGGAGAGAGGAGGTGTGGAGGAGGGACGACCAGCCTACCCTCACGCGGGTCTGCCTGGATGGGAGCCCCAGCCCCCGGATTTGGAAGACCACAGGGCCGGTAGTGGTGGTGGTCCCGACGGCCTTGAACCGCCACCACCACCACCACATTACCCTGGTTATGTCGACGAATCACACCCACGGGAGCCGACTGACTATGGTAGTTGTATGTTGGGCTGTGATGTGATTATTCGTATATGTGCCAATCCAGGCGTCACTCCACCAGCTCGAAACCATACGTAGAACTTGAATTTGTAAATTCTTGTAAAACCCACAAGTTTAGCAACAAGGCAACATCTGCGCGATTGCGTTTTCCAAGACAGCTTTAAATTCATATTAGTAGTAAAGGACTTCAAGTAACTACGTCAAAATTTTGTATCACCTACTTTGGGTGTAGCAGAGAAAACAATTTTCATAATCCAACTTCTCTTTCGCAAATGGATAGTTAGCGATGTGTTGCTGTCGTTACATGACACGCTAGAGCCTCAAGTTGGACGAACCGCGTCCCGTTAGTGTTCAGTATCGTGTAGAGAGCTCCGCTTTTCGTCAGTTTACGCTGTATAATACCAACATCTAAGGCAGCGCTTTTAATCAACTCCTCTCGGGAGTTCCCAGGCCCCGAAAACTAATGGATGCATTCCAAGATACGATCGACTCAGACTGGCGATTCCAGTTGTATCGGACATTGTCCCTTCGAAACAGCATTCAATGGTCATTAATGTTATGCGTCAATTAATTCATCAAGTTCAATAGCTACAAGAGTGATGCCTGATCAGATATCGTTTTCTACAACGGTTATCCCGCCGATCACAACATGACGCCTACCGAAGTTGCAGTGGTTCGATGCCTGTCTTGAGATTGGAACTACCTTGAAAGAACTAATATAGACGAGAATGTTTTGAACCAAGCTGCTATAAAATTTGTATTTGACTTCCAAAGGGCTTCATGTGAATATATTTAGATTAAGACCGTTCGCTCCTCTCCTAGCTGTTCCCGAAACGGTAATTTTGATTTTGACAGTGATTAAAATCGATAAATTTGGTGTTGTTTCGTGGTCTAAGGTGAGTTTAATGAACTAAGGGTTAAGTCAGATGATGCCTATTTTCACATGAACTCGATTCCTGATGTGAAGGGGTAGGCACGTGTGCCAGGTGTTTTGGGGGAAATCATGTCTGTAGTAGTTTTGGCATGTAGAAAGTCATACCCAGGATTTCGATGCGAGTGTTATGAAACAGTCATGATTTGGGTAACAAAAAAGGCCGAGACCAGGCTGTCGTCCTTTATTGTAGCGGATCCGCCTCCCAAATTGTAATGTGAATTGCTCGTCCTATCTGCCATGCTAGCAGTCAGTATACCATGGTAATATCTGTAATGCTTATGTACTTGCTTTATCTGCCTCATCATTAAGTGTCGATATCGACATAAATTGAAACGGGCACCGTCGCTGCTTTTCCTGCCGAAAAAACTTAGGTTCTACAATTCCGGGTAGTCAGGTCTGCTCACACGAGTGTGCATGATCCTCAAGTAGACGCTTTCAGATATTCTATCAAAGGCAGTTGCTAGTAGGTTTAACCTTCGAGATAGCCATCAGGTTAGAGGAGGATTACTAGACGGCAGGATGAATGCTGAAGCGCCTTACGACGACAACGAACCGACGCCGATTTATCCAGGAGACATCGTGTACATTCGTCCAATGAACAAGTTTCTAGTTGAGCGGCGCAACACTAACGAAAACGGGTGACGAAGCGAGACGAACACTCTGATTTTCCTCTGTATCTCTTTTTTGTAGTACCCGATTTGGACAGACTTATACCCCAAACAGAGACATCCCTTCCCCCTACTGGACCTGACACCTACCAACCGCACCCACCGGCATCAAAACCACTTGACACCACTCCCCCAACACGCGTGGCCCCACCGGACGTCTGGCTGCCGGCCCCTGAACTCCAGCCGGGTGACGGAAAGTTGCCCGACTCCAAGCTTTTTCTCCCTGATTTCCCTCCCCATCGTGGTCGTCCTATGTCGGGCGACAGCAAAGTGACCACCGGAGGATTAATGGTCACTAAAACTCCCGCCTTGATCGCAACCCTTTTGCTCATTGCGATTTTAGTCTAGGATGGTTGCGACGCACCCCCTGTCCCGGTCGTGTACATACCACCAACTTCGAAATTCCTACGTGTTACACCATCATCACCCTAATTCAGCAGTCTTCCATCCCTCATGCTACTGTTACGATACTAATGGGTCTTATCTTCGTCCTATCTTTCAAGTGACTGTGCGCATCCAACTGCGGCCGACCACCAAGACTAGTTAACCTTGTGTTGCAGCATACATGTCTAAATACGTGCACATTAATGTACTTGTGCATAAACATGACGACTGATTATCCTTTTTCCCGACCCAGTAATTTTTCTTTATCCATAAGCCCAAAGAACCACTCCAACCCGCGGAGAGACTAGGCTCGGTTGGACGGTTCAGCATTGTCGTTTCAGTCTGTACCGGTGGCCGTCTATTCGACGTGAAGTATGGAGATACGCGCAATGGGCGGACTTAAAAAATCTAGCAAATAAGTAGGTGTATCACTAGACTTGGCAGCCACCGTCCTGATGGGAATGCCCCGGAACGGGGTTCAGACGAACAGCAACTGTTACCAGGGACTAGACTTATCAAGCCCTTCATATAGAAAATAAATACGTCGGTTTTGGACAGGCACACGGTATTGTAAGACTTAAAATAAGCGGTAGGCTGGATGAAGACAGTAGTCGGTAATGTCCATTCAAGCAAAGTGGGCATGCGAAGACAGGTGTCGGCCCAAGACGGAGTCGACCTCACCTGGTGTGCGCTTGATTAAAGCCACAGCAAATGTACAAACATGCGAAGGGGTATCGGACGTATTTGAGGAGTACCCTTGAGATAATACGGAGCCACTTTGCAATATGGCGGTCCTACTACTGAGACAACCCAAGGGAGTTTTATACCTCGCTCACATAAGTGGGGTGCGCTGTCGCGTGCTGGAATTGCACATACAAGGTTAAATACTAACCTAAAAAGTTAACACACGAATGCCACTTTTAAGGCAAATGGCCTGTGCACGAAACAAATAAGTACAAAAGTGTATCGTCGTGAAATCCAGTATTATTGGAACAAAGCACTAAAAAGTATGGAACAAAATCTACCACGCGATAAATCCAAAAATGTCACTAACGATTGAAATATTTCCAATAAAGTGCTTGCGCTATCAAGCATAACTAAATCACAGATATTACACTCAGGTCATAAAACCCGATGAATCCAGCCTTCATTCAAGGCAGGTTAGTGGATGCTTCAGTGCGCATTCTGCAAATGAGTCCATAGGGTACCAGCACTTAGAATTCTCGTCAAAAGCAAATGTCAGGTTCTTGCCAAAAAAGAAATCAACCCCTTCAATGGCTATGCTGTTGAGAAGACGGATGGTGTGCCGCAGCATCTTGTAGAAATTGTCAGTCTCTTGTTTCGGGGTGGTAGAGAAGTGTTGCAGGTGCTCGCGAGGCAATTTTTTAATGTACGAAGCCAATTTCAAAGTTTTTTCGTCGAAAACAAACGGCTTTAGGACAAGAAAGTGTGAGATCGGGTCAAAAATATTATGCATGCCACATCTAGCCGAAGTCGACCAAGAGTATGAAGACCGAAGAACACTCACGGGTCCTGTAGCTTTGGGCAAAATAAAAGCTGGGAAGAGTGAAGCTAGATGAGTATCAAAGACCACGCCCCGAACGACTGGGGTATGAAGTTGTTTCTTTGATCTCATCGTGACGTGGTCATTGAGAATGTAAGAACACAGAGTATTCAGACTGAATGTTAATCGGGAGACGAGCAATTCCATGAGTATCTGGAGCGTCAGCACCTTCGACAGGTCATTAGAATCTACGAAGCCTCCAACGACGTGCACCTGAGGGCATTCATCCAACTTTGTGGATGGATTATCATCAAAAAAGCGATTGGCTTTCTCGAAAAAATCCTCGGTCAACCGACCATCACAACTCCCATCGAGATGTCCGAATACAAAACCGGCGGAAGAGGTTATTAAAACCGCGTGGCAGGAGGTCATTTCCGAGGTTCCCACAAAGCGAGGTATAGGAGGGTTTATCCGACAACCGGAACTAGTCGAGCGAGTATCCGCCCCATACTTGACCATGGCCATTTCGTTTTGGTGAACATACAAAATATCACCGCTCGACTCAATCGTGACAACATTGGCGCTCTTAAGGCTCTGAGCACGCTTGCGGACAGTGGCTAAATTAATAAGGTTCATCAACCCCGAGTGCCGAAACTCGCGTACTGCAATGGAGTCCGATCTGACCAACTTCCATTGAGTATCATCCACCAAAAGAACCATGGATATTTACCGCACCCTCCCCAGCTTGGACCTAAAATACACAATTTATCAGCACGGGCACTACACATGAACAGGTAGAAAGTAAGGAGTTCGAGTGTATAAAAAAACTGTATTTCTATGTGTTGCCTTGTGCAAGAGCGCTCTCATCTGACTGTACACTATTTACAAAATATGTGCATATGTACAAGTTCATGATAGCACAACAAAATGAATTAGCCTAATCCATTCACAAGGTGACGGCAGCGCCCAGCCGATGAGTCGTTATTATGCACCACCACAGATTCCGACGGCAAGTCAAGGCAAGAACGCCACTCATCGAGCAACCTGTACAGTTCCACCTGTTTGAACCGCAATGCTTCGGCCATGACAAATGAGACCGAGGCGTACTTCTGCTGGAAGCTGCCGACAAATCGTGTGAGAGTATCGAAAACTTTGCATCCATCTAAAGTAAGCGGGTGTAAACAACGCAGTTAAAGGAAATTACCTAACGCTGGCTTTCGCACCATTTCAATAAGCTTGCCAACGAGTATGTTGTTGACTTCAAACGAATTTTTGTCCTCAGAGGAAAGCCTCAACCTTTTGTTGTCTGCATTACCCCTCCAGACATCATTTGTTGGCGGGGAATGACAGGTAGGCGGTGTTACGTGGTTTAGTTCACCATTGTGAATTGGAGCTAAACGGGTACAATAACTCACGACAACAACTTACAAGAACACGAACTGAAATCATCACGTTGTGGGGAAGAGCTTGCCGTGCTGTTACCCCTCGATAGCCTCCGCCAGTTAGAAAATGTTATATAGGGAGGAAGAGGACCTAAGAAAATTAAAATCAAACTTAGAATACGAACCTTTCACTCTTCCACTTAGGCCGCCAGTAGATCTTCGTCGCATCGAAGAGGACGAGGAACCAGGAAACGCAGGACCAGAAAACGCCACATCCTCGACGAAAACCTCGTCAGCCACAAATGTGGCTGCAGTTTTCCGACGGAAAGGATTTCCAAATGTATCCAAGCGTTCAGGGCTTGGAGTAAGTTCACGCAATGGAGCAGCCTGTGGCTGAGCGAATTTATAATTGATGTAGTCACCCATGTCACTGAGAGCCTGATTATGAATGGCCTCGTGGTCCATTGGACGACTAACTCCATCCAGTATGGCGACTAGATTTCTCCGGAGTTTAGGTAACATCTTCCGTAATTTTCGTCTTGGAATACTGCCCGGAGTTTCGTATAGAAATTTACCAGAAGGCTTTGCTACGGTACCAAAAGCCCTTAATTCCGAGAAGGGACGCATCGAAACAGGAAGCGAACTCTGAGGCAACTAAGGAAACAAAACAAAAGCCATTACATTTCCGCATTAAAAATGCGAGACCGTTAGTAGGACCATCTCGAGAACGCGGTCACACTTAGGAAATAAATTGTACTGAAGTAATGAACACATCTTAGATGGCTATAAGGTTCATAAAAATCAATACAATACGTAGCGAAATACGATCCGCGGGAAAAGCAACAAAATAGATACAAGTTTCACATACCTTGACGAGAGGAGGCGGTTCCGTAGATGACACAACATGCACAAACCGGTCGTACTCAATTTTCGCAGAATGTCGAAGTTTCTGCAAGTGATTTTTAAGTTGGTACGGAAGCATTCGATCTAAAGCTTCGGGCTTTATAACACCTTGGAAGCCCAACCGCTCAAAAGCTTTAGAAATCGGCTACAGAAAAGACAATCAGTAAACTGCAGAAAACCCACCATGTAGTAATACCGCGGTATGTTGGACAGGTAATTCGTAAGTTTGGCCGCCCAGGCATCTGTCATGCGCATACTGTTCACCTCATGCAATTCATCTTCATAGATAAGAATAGCTCATACCGCACACTTACTCAATAGGTCCGATAACTCTCGATAGTTGTACGGTAAGACATACAAAAACACCGCCTGAAGATCTGGCGAGGCCTTGCAGTAACCAAATGGAGCATCACAATTCGGACCGCTCCCAGGTACAACACAAGACCAGACAGCCGAAGCGTCTCCGTGATCAATGAGTTTCTGTGTAAACGGTGACGGTTCTAATTCGTATCTGTCAATCGGGAAACAATCCAAAAACTTGGGCGGAGCATCCGTCGAGAGAGATGCGTGGATAATTGGATTGGATGGGCGGGTTGGCTGACACACAATAATCAAGAGAAATGAAACATACCAGTTTAGACAGCAAAAGTTCCTCAGTAGGCCAAAAATTTTCGGGGATGGGCCACGATGAGCCAACTCTGCCGACTAACTTGACATGGATCAACTGTTTGATGACCAAAGTTTCTTTTGGGTCTTAAAAGGTAACATTACTGAAACATATTACTTGATACTTCAACTAAGTCTACGACAACACCGGGCTGACACTTTGTCCCAACGGCTTCAACACATTGAGGAATGGCACGAAGATCCGATAGGACAAAGACATCGCCACCAGTTTGGTTACAAGAAGCATAAGCGGAAGAGGATGGCTCCAAGGAAAGTGGTCGAGGTATGTCATAATAAGTATCAATTAAACCAGGATTTTGTAATAGAATTCCATGCAATCGATAATCCCATCTGTGAGAATCAGCTGTCAGGTCACCACCGGGAACGAAGGCAGTGGGCTAAAGGTACCAAGTTGTCATTCATCGCTTACCATGCTCTTCGTCTCGAAATCGGCATTATGACGAGTTACGACAACAACTACGGCAGGCTCGAAACACGACATGTACAAACCCTACACCATCAAAGTCCTAAGAAATGTAAACTAACCATGCCATAATTTTCGAACCCAACTTGCATACGATTAAGATTAAGTAATCTAAATGCACACCCGATACCGTCGCTAAGGCTAACAGTGCCATCAGGGTTAATTCTGCTAAGAGCAGAATGCAAGGTTTGTAAGTCGCTGTTTTGTCTCCACCCTGTGAGCTAAAAATTAAAAGTTAGCTTGTTGCATCAAAACAAACCTTAACATTATATGGGTACGGATTGAGGGTAAACACGAAGTAACGATCCACGCGATATTTATTCATACGCACCTACCAAGTCAGCCAATGAAAACAGCATTACTTTAAAGAATGTTTCGACGATCGTTTTGGCTGAATCTAACAAGGTCGTGCCCTGATAGGTTCGTTGATTCATTGAGGCACTATTATCGACCACAAAACAGATTATTGTCATGGTAACCGCGCAAACGACAACGACGAAAACAACCAATCAACATCTAGCTAACGCCAAACCATGCATGCGCAGCGCTCTAAGGCGCAGGATTTCCAGTCTTATATAGTGCATGCGGTGGGCTTCCGCCTTTTTCATTGGTTACCAAAATTTTAGAGGCTCATATAGGTAACAATTCAGTTTTAATTGTATTTCTGAATGAATCTTAAGTAGCGATAAAAAAAATTAGTAAACGTTTGTACGAATTAGGTGAAAGTTTCACAGATCTTGAATTGGACTACCTTTTAACGATCGAGCCATTAAGGGTTGCTTTCAAAACTAAGTTACCTGTATGAGCCTCTCATTAATAATTTGAATGGAGTTTTCTTTGGTAATTTTCACTGAACTTTGACTGCCCGTGGGTCGGTAATCGCCCATCCCACAAATCTTTGCTATGAATATCTTGAAGGATTTCGTTAATGAAGGTTTTTCACGAGCCGTGTTATTTCCGCTCAAGGTTTTACTGCCTCCAGACCTAGTTTCGTTTTCTTGTTCAAATACCTTAAAACGGTTAAGAGCGTGGTGGGCCGTAATTTCCTTGCCAATTGTGCTATGCATACGTGTTGTCCTATTTCCGTAGGTGTTTTGTTCACCTCAATGGTGTTTCAGTTTTGTCGAGATTGTGATGCATTTACTTCACCTTTAGTGTGCTTGTGTGTGAATTACAAAGCTCATCAGGGAAGCTTCCCTTCCACCGGGTTCTTTACATCTCATAAAACCTCAAATTCCATTTTTGACCCACATTCCTAAAAATGTATTACATAGGGTTTAGGCCACTTAATTTATGATGGCTGCACGTCTTACTGTCTTACAGAGATCTGATTGAGTACATTGAACGCAATGGCCATCAATGGCTAGTTATTGCCTTTTTCAGCCCGTAGTCTGGTATTCAAATGTTCAATTAAAAAGTGATTTCTCGCTAAAGAAAATACAGGATGCGCTTGTAGAATTTCTGGTTCTTTGATCCTTGACAAAAATCAAGTTAAAATTGCGAAAAGCTTGTGAATCCGCCTCCGCTGGTAAATCCAGGGCCAGGACACTGGGTTGGGGTCGCAGGACACGTACAACTTCTTCAGCTTCCTTTACTGATGGCTCATCGTGGTTCCTTTTTGCCTGATTGTCAAAATACTTTGATTCGAAAAAAATTTGGGTTGTGACTCATCGGAGCCTCCCCAAAATACTGGGGCCTTTAAAGTGTAGTAACTTGGTGTGCTTGTAGTTATGTGTTTGATCGTCCCCAAAATCATTTTTGTGTGCAACGGTACCGGTTGTATGTCGTTTAATGACAATAAAGCCCTATTTCTCCATAGGACCAAATAAGTCCAATGTAAACGATGATTTTCTTCGCTCAGAAGAGCAGGTTGTGCCAAGCACCAAAGGTAGGTCGAAACACGCTTCTCACAGCATCAACAATATTACAATAATGTCATGGATGTGTATATTTTCTGGGTCGGTCAGGCGAAAATGACTTCTAATCGAGGAAGCAAATTCGATGTCACGCTCCGCCAGGGCACCCGACAACTAAACGAGCGAAAATACAAACACAGAGAAGTGGTGTGCTAGTTGTTATTCCACAAGTTCTCTTGGTTTTAGATATTTCGTTTCCATTATGATGTGATGTCGTTGTGCACGCTTTTACCGCCCTACGTCGTATGTCGTGGTTTAGTCTATGCTGCCATACACAAAAAAATATCTACTTCTCTCAAACACGGTATTTTCCACAATTCCTTAAAATTGGTCTGACCCTTATACTTGTGTATTCAAGTTCGGGGGTGATTTATAAGCGAATTACATGCAACGGTGAGCGCTGCTAGAGGATTTATCATTTTAAGTGCCTAAATTTAGACAGTGTCCGTTAAGCGAAATGTGGTCTGGCGTTGCCATTCTGGAAGATGTTACCTACTCGACTGATCAGACGTAGACGTTTTGCTTGGAATTCAACATGGAGTTAGATGAGTTGCCCACAGTGTTTCTCCACAGTTGCTGTTTGACCAAGTGGAAGAAGCTCGTAAATCACTCTTCCACTGCAATCGCACCAAACGCATTGCCTCAAAAGATCAATGGGAACCGATTCGTGCGCACGGTGAACTTTCGAAATGGAAAATGCAAATCTGCATTGTCGTCATGTTGGTTAATATGAATTTGAAAAAGGCAGTGAGTAAAAAGAAAGTATTCAGGACGTCTAATTGGGTTGTGCTCCTGCACTTAGGAGAATTAAAAGTGGTTTATTCGATTTCAAAATGGTGACTCCAATCTAAATGCGAAACTTCGCCTTGAGTAAACTTTCAACATTGGTAACGACTTTTCCGTGAGTTAACAAATAATAATCCACGGATTACCGCTGAGAAGATGTCTAAAAGACTAAATTTTGACTGTTCACCTACATTCCACTGTTTAAAGCAACTTGAATTTACTTTAAAACTCGACATGTTTTGACAGATTGCAACAATCTAAGGCGTGTTACTACCGACATTTCTCTCCTCCCCGTCAACTAAACGAACCTTTCCTGGTTCAAGTTATAAATGCCATGGAAACTGTTCAGTGTATAACAGTAAAACAAAAAGGGGGACTTGAAACTTGTGAGTAAAATAACGGAACCTATTATAAAGGCTGAATTGCATCCAGTGAAAATGTTATTATGTACATAGTGCGATTACACTGGAATTATTATTTTCGAGCTTCCTCCACTTGGTCAAACGGGAACTGTTGAGAAGTACTGTGGGCACGCAATGTCGTCTAGAAGCATATTACTGGTTAACAAGCATCATCTTTAACGAAAACGTGTTGTATTTAATTTGGTTATAATATTGTCAGCACTTTCATTAATACATTATTCAATTAACTTTGGTATTTAATCACGGATTTTCTCGGAAGTTTTTCAGAGCTTGGGAAAAGTCTTGGACACGATAATGTTGACGTGAGAGTGCCTAACAGGACCTAAGTGGAATGAGAAGCCTCGAACGCGTGTGCATCAACTCCAACAAAACGAGGACTGCCTCAGGTTTAGGATAAGTGGGTATCCGTTGCAATGGTGTCAGAGAACGCGCGTGAGTGAAGCCTGTTCACATGTTGATCCGGTGTCATTGACTATTGGTTCGTGTTAGCAACCGGTAATTAAGCTCATGCACTCTCGCAAAAGATAATCTTGGCCTGTCAGACACTACTAAACGGTCGTATCCGCTATCCCATGTTGTTAATTCTTTTTATTTAGCGAACCAATTTCACTGATGATTTTGAAATCTCTGACCTGCTCATTATTGGTACTTCTGCATGTCGAAAAAGTTCACGCCACTTTAATGATAGGTACGTGGAATTTTCGACTATCACCCTTCAGTCTTCGTACTTTTTACAGGTGACGTTGCTACCTCTAACCTATTTTTAGAACACTCTGACAATCATGTTAGATGTTCTTGAGCATTCTTTTGTGGGTGCACGTGACTACCATGACGCCGCTCATAGTAAATAAGCTTCTGACAAGCTGCGAAAATTACCTTGTGATTTAGCCATAGCTACTTCCTTCATGAGGGAATTATCGATTCGTTTCGTGTCAATAACTAGGTCGGAGATGTGCATTTATAGTCTGCAGGAGTTTGCTTTACACAGATGACATAAAATCGAGACGACATGGCATCTAGTGGCACGCTCTTTTACTTCCGACCTTCCCGATTTTTGACTCATAATCAATTCAATAGAATTTACCCTTTAGTTTCATTCCAACAGGATGACTGTGGATAGCAGGTGTATTCATTGGATTTGACGAAACCCCCAGCCATTATTAGACATTGTATCTTTAGTCTCGTGGAAATCCTCAAACCGATACCGGATAACCACTCATGGTTGGAAGTAAGCATATCAAACACGATCAGTTGAGTTCTGCACCATGTAACTATTCTTATTTCGCCTGTCCTGTTAGAAACGGTGCTAGCCAGATTAGTTAATAGCGTTGACTGTCACCAGACTATGTCGTTTAGGGCAAATGAGCGCGTTGGCTCCTGCCTCCGTATTGTGTTCCTACCGTCCTAAAAATCAGTGACCTGACGCTGGCAGATGTCGATTACAACTCTCCGATTTGCCAGTCATTTGGATGATATGGCAGATCTTATCCAGCAAGCGGCCAAATCCACCCAAGCCTTCGGAATTGAATAAAGCCATTAGCCACAGCATAATTTTACCTGACAAGAGCACATGCTCTGAGATTTAAAACTAAAGCGCTCCGTTTGAATCACATGCAATCTGCCGTTAATGCACTGACACGAAGCCATTCATGACGTGGAATGGACAATCAACCACCTGCTCTAACACACAGTTGCATCGCAGACAGTTTACATGCTTCTCTTGGAACGTATGCTGTCATCGTCAAACCTCCAAGAATTCGACCCGCTAAAATAAGCCTTCGGGTGCCTAAGCCGCCTCACACTTGCACAAAATGGTCTGAAACAGGGACCAGTCTTCTTTGTCATCAATAGCCGGCAACAGTTACACGCTCCGACGGACGTGTGCACTGAACCG